AGAGTCTCAGGAAACTCTGCAAGTGTCAAGGTCATTAAGTCCAACTCTGCTCCTTCTTAGCGGATGGTGGCATTCCTGGTCACAGCTCTACCCTGAGCACCCAGACTCTTCCCCAGGCAAACAATGAACGCCAATGTCTTCAGGAGGGGAGGGCGGGAGGAGAGACTTAGACCCAGACAGTCAGAGGACAAGCAATGCAGCACCACACGGAAGGAAGTATCTGTGCCACAGAGGGCAGGAGGATGCTCAACTGGCTAGAAAGAAAAAGCCAAGCAGGTGTGGGTCAAGGTGGAGAAAAACTCCAGTGGGTGGTATCCTGGGTGCAGGAAAGTGTGGGGAGCAGCCGTGGGAAATCCTGCACCACAGGGACAACTTCAGTGCTTTGAGCAGAGGAGATAGGTTTTCCTTTACCAAGAGACACAAGTTCCTAGCAGCTGCCCTTCTCCAAGACTCGAGAGGTGGAGCAGGTCAAAGAATGAACAGATGGGAACACATGGCTTTTGGCACCTCCCCGAGTTCTAGAAAAACTGAACGGAGCCGTGCCTTGGCATCTACTGGAACGACTGGGCTGGGACAGCCGGTCAGAGGCCCAGTTCATAGGGGGAAAGTGGAGAGCTGGGGCTAGGGCTGACTTGGTGCTAAATGGGTAGAAAAGGGGAAGGTGAGTCTCACCTTCATCCTATAAGTTAGGGGTGTGGCTTATCACACAGACACAGGGGCTTCTTGTGACCAGAAAGCTATTAATAAGTGTATTTAGCTCGGCTGGTGTGGCTCAGTGGTTGACCGTCGACCTATGAACCAGGAGGTCATGGTTCGATTCTTGGTCAGGGTATATACCAGGTTGCGGGCTCAATCCCCAGTGGGGGGCGTGCAGGAGGCAGCAGATCCATGATTCTCTCTCATCATTGATGTCTCTCTCTTTCTCCCTCTCCTTTCCACTCTGAAATCAATAAAAATATATTTTGAAAAATAAGTAGATTTACCAACAAATATCACAGGCCTACTTTATACCAGTCCCCTAAAAGAATCATGTTTCGGGGCCAGCCTTCCTTCCAGCAGCTTTCAAAAGCTGACAGCCAATATTCTTTGTCACCTGCCCATGTGTGGGCAGCATCTTTCCCCATAAGTGGGCAGGGTCCAGTGGTGTAGTATGCAGCTGGTCAGAAGAGCAGGGGAGAGAGAGAGGCCCTTTCAGGAATGCAGTCCCCGGAGGCTTCTCCCGCCCTGCATGTAAGATTCCAAAAGTCTGAGCTAACCCCCAGGATATAGTCCAGCAAAGATGCTGTGGGCTATATTCCTCTGGGAGAGAGCAATTGCTAGAGAGGGATTTTATTTTTACAACCCTCTTTCCCCGCCGGGGTTGGGGGTGGGGGTGGATGGCAGGCAATGGGAAAAAAACTGTGTTTGGATGAGGAAGGAAGCATTCTGCTAGCTGTGTGTATCCTTTTACACGTTCTGCTCTCACATATTCCCTTCTCTATTGTACCTTCAATAATTGTCTGAAAAACTCCGAGGGCATGAGTTAAGATCACAATGAATCCTAACATAACTCTGCTTCTACTATATTTTTGCTCCCAAAGCTTTCCACTGGGTAGAATTTTAAATTCGAACAATGGTTCAAAGGCTCAGAGACAAACTGCTCATTACTGGAAAGAGTGCCAGGAATCCTGGGAAGCAGCCCTCACTCTCCACTGGAGTTCTGCACCTAATAGTAATGGCTTCTTTCATGGTCATGGGAGGGTTGGATCAGCATTTCTTTTCATTCTCGTTTTCTTTCAGTAACTGCTGGGATGAAAGCAAGTCTAGGAGAATAAAAATTTCACAAACAGGACAAGAATAAAATATTTAGGGCAAGAGATCAGAAGTTCTTTGGTTATTCAGTGAACTGAACTAACTCTACTTTTAAAAAGTATAAGGAAATAAATGTCCATCAAACTCCATGTCACAGTGGGTATTAGCCTTTCGACCCCATCTCACAGGCTCTAAGCTGCGTTGTCATGCCTAGCAAGTTGCAGTAAGAAACTCAGACTAATCCAGTGACAAAATGGAGCAGTTTTGTCATTATTAATTCTGTTCCCAATATTTACTACATCTTTATTCTGAGAAGCATTCTACCAACGTTGTTGTTAAATGGCCCATTCTCTGTCACTTCCCACCCCAAAACCCAATCAGTGATGAATGGTAGGAACGGAAGGTTTATTATCACTGCTTTACATCCCTTAGAGCAAACCCGATCACTGCAGAGCAGCAGTTCAAGCTGCCCATCAATTAGTGCCTTTCCCCAAGTTCAATCTGAGTGGGAAACAGTTGGAAAGAGACATGCTTGAGAAGTACTGTACTAAAACTTAACACCTTTACTCATCATTCAAGTGATCTTCTTGGAGTGCTTGTCACAAAGCACCCCCCCCACCGAAAATAAGGTGGTTGTTTTTTAAAATTTATCTTTATTTTTGAAAGAATTACAGGTGACCCCATTTCCCCTCCCCATTGATCCTCTCCACTCCCATACCTCCTTTTCCTCAGGCCTTCACCAAACTATAGTCTGTCCATAGGTTATACATATGTGCATATAAATTCTTTGTTAATTTCTTCCCACCCCCACCCCCAGCCCAGAGCTAAGGTTAATTTGATCAAGAGAACAGGTCCCTCGCAGAGTGGTGAAGAAGCAGTTAGGTACTAACAGTATTGCTTCATTTCTAGCCACACTGAATCTGATTTAGTTGTGTGTGATAACCCTATCCTGGCACTGGGAAGCTCTTTTCCAGGACCCATCAATTAACACAGCTTAAGAAACATTCTATGCCCAAGCAATTCAGGCTAAAAATAACTCTGTGGGCTATTTTTTTCCCCTTTGCTCATCCACAGAAAGCATGTCAACAGGATCTTTGCTCCTTGAGTGTTTTCACTCCTGCTTACTCCTCCCTGAAAATCGAGTTGTTTGATTACAATCAGGAAAGTTGCTAGGTTGGTGTGAGACTTGCCAACCAAGCAAAACTTCCAGTATGCTGATGGAACTAAGCTTTGGGACTGTCAAGTGTCCAGAGAAAAATAGAAGAATAAAAGAACCCAGCATTCACAGACAGGATAATTAAAAAATAGATTCTCCTTTCCCCTCCTTTCTTATAAATTATACAATTCTTTAATCATATCTGATTTATACACAGAATTCACTTCTACCTTAACAATATTAACGTAACAACTGAATGTATAAGGTACCTTGTTATGTATAAGGTACTTTTCTAAGAACTTTAGGGGCATTCACTCATTAATTTGCACAACTCTATGAGGTAGATATGATTATTTCAATTTCACATTTGAAAACACGGAGGCACAGAGAGATGAAGTGACTTGTCCAAGGGCCCTCAAGCTAATAAATGGCAGAGCCAAGATACAAGCCCAGGAAGTCTGGCTCCAGAGCCCATGTTCTAACCATTACACACACTGCTTCTGCAACAAAAAAGATGACCTTTTCGGAATTCCTACAAAGCTGTACCTCCCTAACTATCAAATATGTCAATTTACATTCTCTAAATTAAGCAGACACTTGGTCCTCTGGTTCATCTTAATGTGAAAACAAGGACCAACAGGAGCTTTCGTCTCATCTAACACCTATCAACTCTCTTGTACAAAACCAAGGTTACCCCCTCTCAAACATGAAAATGCACGGAGAGAGCTGTTCACGCATCGGAATTACTTTCTAGCAACCGGAAATGTTTGCAAAATTAAGGCCCTGGACACCTCTTTCAGTTTAAGCAGTCAGCACTCAATGGATCTCTTGTGGCTCTAACAGAACTTAAGTAGCTATCTCTGAAAGACAGACAAGTCAATTTTAACAAGACCCTGATTAGAGAATGTTTAATTCTATGAATATATTATGGTGATGGGGCATAAAGTAGAAAGTTCTTTATGCTTAATGACTCACCAATAGGTTCACAAAGATATCAAAGCACTGGCCTACTCAGCTGTGACACAAGTTCATATAATCAGGAGTTTAGGAAGGCCAAAGCGCTATTCATATGCTCCTTTTGCTCAAAGGCCCTAACTTTTTACTTAAAACTTTGTCTAATCTTTCCTCAATTTCTCCCATCTCTCAAACACTCTCTGTATTCATAAGCTTCATAAGCCAATGCCATATTTTAAAGTACTAACAACCATATTTTAAGACACTGCTCTTCAATTGGTTTGCTTCTGAAATAGATTATTGAATAACTTTCAAATATTGAATATTTTGCCTTGGGCAAAAAAGCTCTCTCAAATGCAGTAACTGTAGTGAAATGAACTGATGACCTGGCTGTGTTGTAAACACCTATGTGTTCACAACCACCCAAACACTGATGTCACCGTTTGGATGACAAAAACAAATCAGGAAGTTTTGCTAAATAAGTTGAATTTGCTTAGTCCTCCTAGGCCTCCTCCCCTATCTGATTTGACACAAGCAATTTCCTTTCACTTTCTACAGATATAACAACAAACGGTTAAAAGCATTAAAAATGCTACCCTGACAGTCACTGGAATGCAGAGGTGGGCCTGAGCAGCTGGGCAAATCAGTATCATCGGCTTCCTTCATGTGTGAGTTATTTTCAATAACAAACCTGAGAGATGTTATATAGCTTAACAGGAGACAAAAAGGTGTTAGTGAAAAACATTTTTGTGGATGGGAAAACCTTCAAAAATTGGTACTTAGGTTATTTAATATTAAGACACCATCAGACTGAGCTGTAAAAAGTAAAACTGCCCTAAACTGCCTTTTGAAAAAGGCAGTTGCAGTGGCAAGTTTAAAAAAACTGGCAGGCCACTGATATTAGTATCTACTAGCAGGCCTCTGATGGGGAGAAACTTAAACGAGTCTCCTGATACTTAGTGAAGTCAGCAAACAATATCCCCGGCCTGTGCCGGCCTGATATTAAGGGCCACACCTTCCATTTCCCAGCCGGGACCATAGTTCCCCGCCTCGCCTCCCTCCCAACCCAGACAGGTGATTACAGACAAGGAGGCAGTGATGTTGCTTCAAAATATTTAATACGTGTCAGACACGTGAAGTTACATTTTTATACAAAAATCCATACAACGAAGGAGAAAATACTGTACAAAAAACCAGCTCCCCCAACCTTTATACAACAAAGACTGGAGTCACCATATCTACAAAACCGTAAGGTCTTTTCACTTAGGGGTTCTGTCTGTAAACTTTGTTGCATTAAACACTTTTTAAAAGCACTGTGTAGTCGTTTTGAGCTAGAGCTTTTAAAAATAGATCTTTTCTCTAGAACTCCGTATTTCCAAGCCTGAACTCTTCTGTGAAGTCCATCAAGCTTTTTTCACTGTGGGGTCCCCTTTCCCAGGATAATCGGGGGGTCAAAACGTTTCTTGGGCGAGAGAAAGGCGGGGAGGGAGAAGTCACACGAGTCTCTATTCCAGACCGAATCGCTCTCGTCTGATGAAATCTGCGAGGAAACGCGCTCCGGGCCGCGCGGGTGTGAAGTCCCTTCCTGCCGCGGGCGCGCGGGGGAACTCCCGGCCCGGTGAGCCGCTTCCTCCTCGCGGGGCCGGTGCAGGAAAGTCCCCGTCGGCCCCCCTCTCCTCCGCCCGGGGGCAGGGCGAGCATTCCGGGAGGACAGAATAGTCTTAATTCACGAAACACACGGACGGACACAGACACACACACACATGAACGGCCGTCCTCCTGCGATAAGCCTCACGCTCCCCAGTCTCAAGGGAGGTCCCCAGAGAGGCCGACGCGGCCGGGCCGCCCCGCAGCACCCCATCTCCCCGGGCGCTCGGCGCCGGCGGTCTCCGGGGCGCCCTCGGGGCCGGCAGGAGCCCATTCTCCCGTCGGGACGCCCGATGCTCAAGCTCCAGCCGCGCGGGCCGGGGTCTCAGAAGGCCTCGATGGCTGTGCTCCACGGGCTCATGTCTCTCAGCACCGCCGTATCACAGCAGATCTGCCCGGGCTCGGCAGCTTCCGGACCCCGCTCCTCGCCCTCGGCTTCCTCCCCGCCGCCCCGCGGGCTTTTCCGTAGGAGTCCCGAGAAGCTGGAGCCGAAGATGCTAATGAGGTTCGCCACGTTCCCGGTCTCCATCTCCTCCTCTCCTTCCTCCGCCCGGCCCGGCCGCTCTTCCGAGTCCCGGCGGGGCTTCTTCACCGGGGTCGAGCCGGGCGCCGGGCGGCCCGCGGGGCCACAGCCGCCCGCCCCCGCCGCGGGGCGCTTCCTGGGGCCGATCGGGGGCGGCGCAGGGGGCTCGTCCTCCGCGCAGCAGTCACCGTGGGGAGCCGCGCCCGGCGCCCCCGGCTGGCCCTCCACACCTGGGGGGCAGCGACAGTCGCGGCGAGTCTCCCGGGGCCCCTCCGGGAAGGCGTCCGAGCCTCCGGCTTGGTCCCCGGCTCCCCCTGCCGCCGCCGCCGCCTCTCCGCTCTGAAGAGTGTCCCTGGCGCAGGCCACGGTAGTCGCGGGCTCCGCGTCACCCGCCCGCAGCGCGCCTGGGGCCGCGGGGTGTGCTGGCTGCGGCTCGGTCTCCAGCCCGGCGGCGGGCGGCGGGGGCGGCTCTCCCCAGCCCGCCGAGGGCCCGGCCGCCGGCTCCGCGGGCAGCTGCAGGGGGGCCCCAGGGGGGCCGGCCAGGTAGAGACCGGGGCACGGGTCGCTCAGGTAGACCTGGCGGGCGCTGCGCAGCACCAGGGAGACCAGCAGGTTCTTGTGCAGCTTGATGCCGCCCCGCTGGACCCGCGAGTTGTAGATCTTGCCCAGCGAGATGCTGACAATGCGGTGCGCCTCCAGCTTGAACTCCATCCCGCCTGCCGACCCTTCTCCGGGGGACGGGCGCGGGGGTGACGGCTGAGCCCGGGCTCCCGGTCACACGCGGGGAGAGGAGTCGGAGGCCTCAGGAAGTCGGCCCCAGGGGTGGACCCTCGGTAACTGAAGACGACGCCGAGAGACCGATTTCGATGACGCGTTCACTGACCCCTACGTCCCCTCCAGTGCAGACAAACGCCCAGCCTCCCGTCCGGTCGCTAACTGAGGGCAGCCCTACCGCCCGGCGCTTTATATAAGCTCCCCACCCGCCAATCGCGAAGGGCCGCCAACCATTCTGGGGCGGGCCGACACGCCCTCACGAGCTGCGCGCGGCCAATCGGAGCCCGAGGAGGGGCGCCAGAGCCATTCGAACGTTAGTCCCGCGGAGCAGGCTCTTAAAGGGGACGCGGTGTGCAGGCGGAGAGCGACAGGCGGGTGGGGCGCCTGGGCTCAGAAAGTAGGTGATAGGGGAGGGGGCTTAGCCCCTGTATTGTTTGTAGGAAAAGGTTCTGGCTTGGGCGCTGGCTTGCCAGAACCAAAGCAAAACAAACCATTCGAACTTGCATCGTGCAGGTGGACTTTGCTCTGCAATCAAGTCCGGATCCCTTGCCTCATCACCCCACGCCCCGCCTCCATTTCCAAGGCGGCGCACACCTGAAAGGCTCTGGTTACCCCTGGCAGAAGTGGAGATGATAGCAAAACGTGGCAAGGGATATCCCTGGATAACAACATAGTATTACTGCACGGTATTTAGCAGATATTAATTTTGTATGAGTTCCTTGCCCCCTAGAAAATCAATCTCTCTCTCTCTTCCTCTCTCTCTCTCATCTGTTAATTGTAAACCCGAAAAAAAGAAAAAGGAGGCTCTAAAAGTTCCTACATTTTTTGTTGCTTATCAAGAAATTGTGTCTAGGCACAAAGGCCAGCACCTATCACTCTGTTCTCTAGATTTAACAACAAGCACAGTTGTCACATAGGTTGCCATGAAAGGTGGTACAGATTCTCCACAATGATTTCTCTCCAGCAGGAGGGCTGACTAGTCACCCTTGGAAAAATCTAGCCAGTTCTAAGAATATAAATAGAGAAGTCCTGTGTTCTCATCATGATGTCATAATTTTATTTTGTGCCAAGGTAAAAACATTGGGGAAGGGTGTTCCAGAATTTTCTGGTCAGTCAACCATCTACTGACCCTCAGTACATGACATTAGGGCAGAACCACCACAGGGTTGTCCAGGGTCCTGGACTGGGTTCCTGGAGAGTCAGTTCCAGTCAGTCCCACTTAAACCCCAGCACAGACCTGCCTGACAACTCTGGGTGCGTAACCTCCAGACACTTGAGTTTCTCCAACTCTAAAAGGGAGAATTCACATACACATCTGCTCTGTATGCAGAACATGAATGACAGCTCAGCCACAATCTGAATCATGAAACTATGCACAGTTTTCTGGAAGTCTATGTGGAACAGTTAGCCTGACTAGGATTTGGCCAAGTGGTGTATAGTAATTCCTCACGCAATGTCATTGACAGGTTTTGTGACTTTAAGTGAAATGATGTGTAATGAAACCAATTTTTACCATAGGCTAACAGACATAAACAAGAGTAAAGTTCCTATGACATCTCATTGTTATAAGGAAATGACGTCCAACGAAATGACGTTATTTGAGGACTCGCTGTATTTAGTTAGGAGAAACACTAGTGAAAGGTGGGCTTGATTATGGCCAATTCGCACTCAGAGGCCTCCACAGGATGCAGTGGCTCAGTAACATTACCTATGCCCACAACTGGTTGATGGCAACGGAGACACCCATCCATGAGCTCTGGGCCTCCCCTCTAGGGATTTTCAGCTCACATAAAGAAGGGCATAAAATAATAACAGAAATAATTACCAAAGCAACCTGCATATTTTGAGCAATAACATGAGAAATACTTTCTTCTATTCTCTCTTTCTTGGAGAGTTATCAGTCACTATAAGACACTGACTAAGAGCACAGGTTCTGAAGACAAGCTTCCTGAGTTGGAATCCCAGCTCCACCTTTTACTTGCTGGGTAACCTTCGGAAAGTTATTTCACCTTTCTGTGCCTTGGTCTTTTTTCATCTTAAAAGAAGATGATAATAGTGCCTACCCCTTGAGAGTTTTTGTGAGGCTAAAACAAGGTAACATGCAAAGCTCTTGGAACAGCCTGGCACATAATAAGCGACCAATGTACGATAGTTATCAGAACACATCACCCCCAACACCACGTTGGGGCGGGAGAAGAGACATCGTGGGTGGGGAGGGGCTTAGATGGGAGAAAGAAGTTGTATTTAAGGAGGGTATTGAAAAATCCTGAAGTAGGATCCACAAGTTCCAAGCAGCAGGAGCAACAGAGTCCCTGATAGGGAACTTCCCACCTGACAGGTATGCCACGCATCAGAGTAAGTGGAAAAGGCTAGAAAGAGAGGCTGGGCCTCCGTGATAGTGGGTCATAGGTGGCTCAATGAAGAGATGGGCCCCTGGGAGCTACTAAAGGTTGTTGAGGAAGAGAAGCACAGAATGGATCCTAGAACAGTCAGTATACTTAATTATAGAGAGGACCACTCAAAGCTCTTGTGGGAGTTTAGGCAAAGGGTCATGAGGCCTGAACTAGGGAGAGAGAGAGCAAAAATGAAAAAAACAAGAGACAGAATGAACCTTAGTGATTACCTAGGAAGCCATTACCCAAACAGGTCATTTATAGAGCCAGACTTCACGAAGCCTTCCTGACCCACCTGAGCAGGGCATTCCGCCATCCTGCATCGTATGAAGCATTCTTCATCATTGCCCTCATCACTTTCCTCTCTCATGCCCAGGGCCCCTCCCTAGCTGTGCTCTCAATGAAGGCAAAAGCCCATCTATACCAGGAGATACTGAAAATATTTAACAACTGGGTGACACAGGCACTAACCATCAGAAGAGTCCCAGAGGCCCTTAGAGTGCCTGCGTATAGTGGGGAGGAGGGCGGGGGGGTGGCCTTCTGCAGGAAGGACTGAATGTCCAGAAAGGGAGGTACACAAGGTGCCTAGGGAAGAGATTCTGCCAGCTGGCATGGAAGCATTTCCGTATTTCAACAACTGGCCATAGCAGTGCATACTGAGTGATTGATTATGCACTTGGATGAATGAGCCCCTAATAATGATATTGTCTGCCAGGCACTGTGCTAGTCACTTTGCAGGCCTTATTTATCATCCTTATAAAGTTCTAAACGCACATGTCATTTTCTCCATTTACAGAAGTGGAAACTAGGACTCTGAAAGGTTAAGTAATTTCCCAGAGTCATACAATTGTAGATGGAGAGGTGGGATTCAACTCCAAATCTATTTAACTCTAAAGTGTGAGGGTGGGGCTCTGAGGTTCAAACCTTGTTTCACCTCTTACTTGCCGTGTGATTTTTGAAAAGTTATTTCACATCTAGGTGAAATGAGAAAACCATGTCCTAGTTTAATTATTTAACCTTTCTGTGCCTCTGTCACCTATTATGTAAAATGGGAATAAGAAAAAATACCTACAGTACTTAGTACAGTCTAGCAGCACACAAGCACTTTCTAAGTCTAGTTGTTATTGTTAGAGCAGTGCCTAGCTCTGTACTGAGCACATGGTCGGTACCCTGTCAGTGCTTGTTGAATTTTGAATGCATTTTTCTACTACACCACATAATAGGTGCTCAATAAATGTCTGCTGCCTTGAGATTGAGCATGATCACTATGATTATCAGGATTTTCTCTAATCCTGAGATAGCAAAATGGTAACTTGAGAACTTATTTCTGCAGGACCTGGGCTCTTATGATCAACAAGCTTCACCTCCATTTCCCAAAAAAGGTGGGAAGATATATAACACATTCTTCTAAGTTTTAGGAAGCAAGTAATTGAATTTACTGTCATCAATCTTTGGGATTTTCTCAGTTAAAAACAAAACCAAACCACACAACTGGTAGCACTATGAGAAACATGAGGGCTATCAGAAAGACAGAAGCCCTGCTCTGGAAGAAGTGGCCAAGCATATGCAGCGGGGCTGTGCTGTCTGTCCACCCCCTCCTCCCCCCATCTTCTCAGTTTGGCACGAGCAGATTAGCGTGCTGAGTACTGGCCACAGCTGCTCCCACTCGGGCGCTGTCTGGCTCTGGCCTGGGAATTCCTCTCATACAGGGTCTGTCTGCCCACTGCTGTTGACTTTATTTCTTGTTTGCTTGACTAATGAAGGCTAAGTATTATTATCAGGTGATTACAGTGCTTATATTGCCTTAAACTGAGTCTAGTCTGTATAAGAACAGTGCAGACTCACTAGGGGTTATGCACACAATCTCTCTGTAAGAAGTGACGATGAGTGAGAAGTGGGTGGGTGAAATAAAAATAAGTTCATTGAGGACAGAAAGAGACTTGGCTTTGGGTGATGAGCGCACAATGCAGTGTGCACATGATGTTTTATTGAGCTGTACACTTGATAACCAATATGGTTTTATTGATCAGTGTCACCCCAATAAATTAAATTTTAAAATCCTAAAAATAAACAAATAAATAAATAACCTGCACTGTGCCTGCCTTTCAATGTTAGGACTTTTGACATTTTCTTGGCCAAAGTTGCTGATGTGAGTGAATCATCATTTGTATGACAGCCTGAATTCTTTTTTTAAAAATATATTTTTATTGATTTCAGAGAGGAAGGGAGAGGGAGAGAGAGATAGAAACATCAATGATGAGAGAGAATCATTGATCGGCTGCCTCCTGCACACCCTCTACTGGGGATCAAACCCACAACTCGGGCATGTGTCCGGATGGGGAATCCATCCATGGCCTCCTGGTTCTTAGGTTGATGCTTAACCACTGAGCCATGTTGGCCGGGTCTAAATTCTTTAGGTAAAAAGCTCTATAAACGTACAATATTAGCACTTTATGTAAGTGATACTCCTCTTGCTCTTCTGAGAACAGACAAATCCACTTTTTAATCCAACTTTCTCTCTCTCACGATTCTGGCATATTTTACAGCCTTTTTTCTCTTGGCTGCTTGACTACTGTAGAATTTCTTTATCTCCAAATAGCATTTGACTAGGGGTGAGCACCAAAGCCTGTTGTCTTTCCTCACCCCCATTTCCTGTTACAGCCCCACCCTTTTCTTGTCCTGAATTTCCTTTGGTTGTTTTTATGATCATCCTTGTCATACCTTGCTTTCTGTAATACTCCTAAGGAAAGCAAATCAATACGTAGAGCACTCAAAACTCATTAAAAT